AGGAGTAAATGTCAGGTCTTATGATGACATTAAACACCAGATTATTTTTCTGAATTATACATTTTTAACCTTCTCTGTTTATCTACAGTCCTACCTTTTATCAGATAAGAATCAGTGACCTTTTATTGTATTTTGCTTTTCAGTTACGGTCCAATATGCTCATAGTGACAAACACAGGAAGAAAGCAAGGGCGTTATTCGTTATTCCTACTCCTATAGGTGGCATGGTGGGAAAAATTCCTAATATGATCCTAAGTAGATCTTATTTTATCCTGTACATTATGTTCAAAAAGTCTAACTGCATTGTGTTTAAAAAAAACAAACAAAGAAAAAAATCAGGCTGTGTTCCAGCAATTTATTACAAGCCCAACCGCACCATCCCCCCTGCATTTGTAAAGAAAAGGACAATTCCTCCTGTATGGCCTTTAAAGGCTGACATATAAACTGTAAGTAATTTGCATGAGTCCTTTCAGTTTATGTATCTCTAGGTCTTTACACATGTTCAGAACAATACGGTCTAAAATTACTTATACAGTCGAAGGTACTTCAATAAGAAATACATGAGCAACACTTAAGGAACCAAAGTAAGTTTGTAGTGTGCTGAGGATTAGCCAGGTTAAGTTTGAATGAAATGCTAAGCTAACTAGTCCAGCACAAACTGGATTACTAAACTGATTCCTTTGTAGGCTGGTGATTAACCCACCTTTCCTAACAGCTTCAAAATCCTGCTGCGATCCTTTATCGTCCTTCTTTCGTCTCTCTACACTCCAGTCCTTACAGACGCCACCGTTGGTGATTTACATTTTTTTACATGTTTGTTTAGGAAAGCAGGTAGCACTGGCTGAACTGCACATCTCACAGAAATATTACGCTCAGTGAAAGGGACTTTTGTTTCATGCTGTGTAGCATGAGTGTTGCATTGATCTTTTTTTTTTTTTGTTTGTTTGTTTGTTGTTGTTTTTTGGTGGGCTCTTATTTTGCCCACACACAGGGAAAGCACCAAACAGGAAGCAACTTTCTATGTAAATCATGAGAATGGCTCATCCAAATGGTCACAAGTTTGCATTGTACTCACTCTGTGTCACATCAGAAGCAAAACAACCATGGTATACTCCAACACTCTGAGAGGTCCCATATGGTCTAGTGGTCAGGATTCCTGGTTTTCACCCAGGTGGCCCGGGTTCAACTCCCGGTATGGGAAATGCTACATTTTGTATCTTTGTTATTTTAAATGGGATCCCATTCAGAAGTAATGTGGGAAAGTATAACGTAAATATCCAAAAGTTGACTGTTCATCAGTGGGAGAAACGTTTCGTCACTCATCCAAGTGACTTCTTCAGTCTCAGCTGACTGCAGGTTTCCCCAGTTTCACCCATCGTGGCCAATTTGTACATGGAAGAAGTGGAAAAGAGGGCTTTGTTATCCTACCCTGGAACACCACCAAGTCATTGGTTCAGATATGTGGATGACACACGTGTGAAAATCAAATCTCAGGACGTACCGCAATTCACGGATCACATTAACTCGGTGGACCGACACATCAAATTCACCAGGGAGGATATGAAAAGTGGCAGGTTAGCCTTCTTAGACTGTGAGATTTCCATCAGGAATGGGGGACATTTAAAAGCTGTTGTGTACCGTAAACCTACACATACAGATCAGTATTTAAGGTTTGACTCTCATCATCCACTGGAGCATAAACTGGGTGTCATCAGGACGCTACAACACAGAGCAAACACCATCCCCACAGACACAGCAGAACATCACATCAAGAAGACCCTGAGTAAATGTGGTTATCCCAGCTGGACTTCTGTCAAAGCTGGGAAGGCGCCTAAAGAAAGCTCCAGCCGATCCAGGAGAGAAGGACAACTGCTGCCTAAGTGAAAACCTGTAGTGATCCCGTACGTGTCTGGAGTATCGGAGCAGTTGAGATGCATTTTTTTTTAAGTGTGCATGTGTGATCTCTTTTCTTTACCAACACAGACGCGGCCACCAGCACAGAGAAGCTGAGCTTGAGATTTAAGAGCTTTGATTTCAGCTGCGCTGGTGAAATCTTTGTGTCGTAACGATGAGGGTTAGAGGTTTTTAGCAGATAAATGAAACTGTTGGTGCTAGATAAGCACGCAGTTTTCATTCACATTCCTCTCCATCACTCTGACAGCTAAAGTGGTGTTTGAAATGATCTCATGTGCAAGACAGCTGGTACTTATCGCACAGCTTTGTAAGGAACCCCGAAAGAAGTCCAACAAGTTAAAAATGAGAAAGGTTGCTTGGCATAAACACTAATCTCACACCCCACAGTGTGGATGGCAAACTGCTGGGTGGAGCAGCTTCTAAACAGAAATCGGATCGGGCTCAGGAGGTAGAGCAGAAGGTTGGTGGTTCAATCCCTGGTTTGTTTGTTTTGTTTTTTTTTAAAGCATCTTACAATCTGTTAAAAGATGCTTTTGGCCTTTATTTTCATGCTACAAATCTGTAGTTTGAGTAGTAGCAGTAGTGCTATAATCAAACTGTCACAAGAGGCTTTACAAGAGAGGGTTCACATCCCTGTTTTCATTTATTACTGATGAGACAAGGAAACTGGACCCTCACATGGTGAAATGCTGAGCATCGCCTGAGTCACGATGCCGTCAGAGAGTTGTAATTTAGATTAAGGAGACGTCTGCTGCAGCTCACATGTCACACCTCCTCTGAGATCCTGTTTTTTAAAAGCTCATGTTTGATAAAAAAAAAAAGAAGATAAAAGTAAATGTTTCCAGTCCTGATGAGTTCCTGCTGACTGAGATGATGTCCAACAGTTTCTGACAATTGAATGATCTGACAGCTGACCAAGCCACCGCCTCGCTGTCCTGCTTTGTCTTCCAGGAAAACGTGGGGACATACGAACACAAACAAGTCATTCCTTTGACTCAGCGTACAAATATTCATCCTTCCCCGAACATTGACATAAACAACTTTATTCCTATTCCCGCACATTAGAGCTCCTTTTGCATTCTTGGCATCTTCAGGTGGGTGGATTTATTTTATGTGGGTTCAGCCTAACAAATGGTCTTTGGACTTTGTCATATTTATCTGATGGCTGATGGAAGGCTCTGATGATGGTCTTGATCCACTATTGTGTTGAGTTCAGTGGTGTGTTTTGGAGCTACTGGTGAGGATTAAGTGTCTTCTGTTAGTGTTTTGACCTTTTTTTTTCCTCTTTCAGCAGGACTTTGTTACTCCTCTCACTTCTTAGTCCTTTATTTGTGTGTGTGTGTGTGTGTGTGTGTGTGTGTGTGTGTGTGGGTGGGCGTGTGTGTGTGTGTGTGTGTGTGTGTGTGTGTGTGTGTGTGTGTGTGCATATTTGTGTTTGGTGTATACAGGGCTGTCATCTGTCACTAAAGACCACCTGCTGCTAGTTCAGCTGGAGATGATAGCTTCCCAGCCCGATTGGCTGTGTGTTTCTACATCATTTGGTATTTGGAGAAAATCCAGCTGAAACAGCTGCTCTGAACGTTGTTTTCTTGAAGAAGAGATGAGAAAAGAAAATTTAAAAATGTATTTTATACTCCGCTCTCCACGTTAAATCTTCTTACAGCCCCATAAGCTTATTTTGTGAACATCTGAAAGGGGTCCAACCCAACGATGAGACCACATGACTTAAACCCAAAAGTGTATATAGTAGTTAAAACCACCTTTAACAGAAGCTTCTCCTGAACATCCTTAAATAAGGATATGAAAGCTTTTTCTACCACCCTGGAGCCGCACTTGTAACTGACATTTATTGTGTGCGGTTTGAGTCCACCGACATCAGAGTGCCAGCACTGACCTCAGCTGCGAAATAATGAATGGCATCATAACAAGAAAGTAAAACTGAGCTGAAATAGCTGAGGGAGGATTTAATTTACTTGTTGTTTTTATCACAGTAACTGTGTTGAATCAACTTAACATTTCTATGATGTTGATTTTACACATAAAAATATTTCCATCCATCCATTCATAAAAATATTTCAAGTCTTAATTTTGAGGAAAATCAGAAAGTAAATATGTTAGACTATTAATGGAAGACGTTTTTCAGCGTTCAATAGAAAAATGCTCAGCTAGTAAGAAGTACTTGCTTGGTGCTTGTTTACCATGAATAACTACAGTGTTACTGTTGCATGCAGGCAGTCAGCTTGTGGCACTGCAGTTGTGTTACTCAAGTACTGATGTTGTTTTGAATGCAGACTTCAGCTCGTCTGCAGTTTGGGGCTGTTAGGTAGTTGTTGACAATATCTCACAGATTCTGTACAGGGTCAGGCAAGCCGGCTGGCCAATCAGAGGCAGTAATACCAGATCAGATCTGATTGGTAGTAGTTTAAGCCATGCAGGCAAGTGCTATGCTCCTAACTAGAAAGGGAAATCTGCATGTCCATAAAGCCTGTCAGCAAATGGAAACATGAAGTGCTGTAAAACCCTAATGATAGACATCGTGTTGACTTCAGACTTGTTAAAACATCGGCAGCAGATGACACCTGAAATCATCAGAGTGCAGAAACTTCATACTGGATCTAAAGCTACTGGCAACACAGAGATGTTTGCTGAAGGTAAGGAACAGCCATGGTTCATTTATCACCAGATATTTATTAGTTTCTCCTAAAACGTAGTCTGTGCCAAATCCCTAAACAGCAGAACCTTTTCAGTTGTCAGACAGTTTGTTAGATGTACTGCTGCTCAATAAATGTTAGGCACTTCTAAATAAAGATATTTGATTGTTACATTATTTTATGTATTTGTAATTATTTTCCTTTTGTAATTGTTTTTTTTTTCGGGGGGGGGGGATGCATGTTGATTGACCAATAAACTAAGCTTTCAGATTACGCATCTGTTCAGGAAAAGTTATGTCAATATTGTAAAACATGTTCAAAAAGTCATTCTTTAACTTCTTTTCCTGCAGGAATAACAAAGATCAAAAGCCTCCTGCCGGGCTCCACCCACAGCACCTCATCGAGTACTAAAGACAAAAACCGAGTATGCAGGAAAAACGATATAATAAACAGCTTTATTTTTTCTTGTTTTTTTAGATGAGGGAGCGTGATGTACATATTTGACATATTTCAATAAATGACTGTAGGGTGATTTGTTTACTTACAGATTATATAAAAAGCACACTGTCCATTTATTTATGTTTACATTAGTTACACAGGAAGCTGTAATAGCAGCAGCAGTCCAGCAAAGGCAACACATGACTTGAACTCTGCAGCACTCTAACCAATCGTGATACAAATCAAACTTCCTGATTTGAACATCAGGTTAGACAGCTGGAGAGGAAGACGGCGCTGACCTGGAGTCGGCAGCTGTGTCGACAGCCTCTGGTCTGGGATCGGCTTTGCCGTCAGCCCTTTAATTAACAATGAACCTGAGGCAGCATGGTCAGAAGGATGGAGACCAAGCTGACCCTAAAGCAGATCATCCAGCACACTGACTCCAGGTCAGGAAAAGCACTAAGCAGAGATACATTCACAGGTTTCCAACCTCCCCACCCCTCCCAGCAGTGGTCAGACCCTTTAGTGGGTGCATGCAGGCAAGTCTTTCCATTGGTTCAGTAGATTCATACATGCTAAAAAAAAAAAAAAAAAGGAGTTCCATCCTCTCAGAACCTCTAGCCCCTAACCTACATCTGCTTCAGTCAGCTTAACTACAGGGATTGTACAGGTTGTCTCAACTCTCTCCAGCCACGAGGAGAAGTGGTGGACGAGACAGCAAACTGTCTTGAAATTGAACAGGCCAGTGTGGGTTTTCTAGGATGTGTTTTGTCCACCGGCGCACTTAATGCACAATCAAGTAACTTCACGTTGTAAATCCATGCAGGGTATCAGAGATAATTGGCGTGAGATGGTAGGTAGAGAGCTGGGATCCCGGGCGTGCGTTTGGACAGAGCAGAGGTCGCCTCCACTGCTCACTTAGCTTAGTTAGGGCTTTCAAAGTGGTTTCCATTTGTTGGCGTCTCCTGCAGAGTCGTGTGTGGGATGTCTGCCTCTTTACGGGACTCCATTTGTGGCTTGAAAAAGTCTGACACGAAGAAGACCTGTAATAGACAAAAAAATAAATGAATAAAATAATTAAAAATAAGTGCTACTGAGGTTTGAATAGTTACATCTACACACAGCGTTTGAGTACTTACCTTGACTGCCAGAAGGGAGTGATATATAAAACCCCCTGCGGGCTGAACTTAAAGATCAGTGCAGGACTTACCACGAGCAGAGCCATGAGCGCGCCCTGTATGAGTCCGGTGAGAACGTCGCTCCAGTGATGCTTGTAATCAGACACTCTCGACAGTCCGGTGTACACAGAGGCGGCAATCAGGAAAAACTGGATGGTCGGTCTCAGCAGCCGCGCCCAGTCGGCCTGGAGCCGAGCCTGCAGGTAGAGCTGAGAAACACAAGGGCCATGCTTTTAAAGTACAGACGGTCACAAACAAGCACATGTGTCACTGTCAAAGCCTAGTACACGCTTCTGTTCCCGCTTCCGCAATGAGCGGCTGGATGTTCACGAAGGGAAAGGATGTGAAAAAAACCCTGCTGGTCTCAGAATTTTACTGATAGAAGGAATTTGTTCAATGCAGGCCGTTTATCTGCAATTGATCGATGATCTAAGCTGATAAATGTCTCTATATCTCTGTTTGCCTCAGGAACAGTGTCCAGTGAGTTCATTTGTTTATGTTTAAAACAGGGTGTGGCCCCAAGGACAGACAAGCTCCATGGCTTTGCAAAGATTCATGCTTCGTGTCTTCCTGCTGCACTTCAATTCTGACGCAAATGTCATTTAAATGGCAGCGCTTTTCCATACTTCAAACTTCCTCTTTGCCGGAGGGTGTGTGTGAGAGGTTTATCGTGCCAAGACTTTGTCCCTGTGTCTATTTATATCTGCTGCTGTTGAATGAGTCAGCAGACCGCAAAGTCCATCGGAGCCGGGCAGTAAAATCTCCTCAGAACAACACACAGAAGTGCTGCTGATAACGGGCGCGAGGTTGAAGGTGCACAGATGTAACCATAAAGAACTGTAAGTAATCATTTGGAACATAATGATGTCTGCTTCGTGACGCCATGAAACAACAGCCAGCAGACACTCAGCTTATCATAAACAGCCTTGGTGAAGCATTTGCATAATTTCGTCTAAACAACCAGGAACGTGGCTACAGTTATGGACTCGTCAGCGTAGCGGAGAGGTGAAAAGTTGTGCCTTTGTGTCCATTAGACCATCTGAAGGAGAGTTTCCTTGTTTTCAACGACTGATGGGCGTAGCTGTACATTAACAGGCGGAAGATGCAGAAAGTGGAGCTTTGCTGGGAAATAAAGGGAAAGCTCCTGCACTCTGTGGGGGACAAAACTCCAAGTAACATCTAATCACTTTTATTTCTGCTTCCACAGCAGGTTTGCTTAAGTAACTTCAGTTTTTATTGTTTGAAAACGCTAAACATTTTCAAACAATAAAAACTAAACTAACTAGTTTGGTTGTTTTTTTTTCTCCCTACCCTCACTGAATTTGAATTTAATTAAGATTGTATTAGTTTCAATCTAATTATAATTAGTTAAAGTTATAATTTTAATGATAGATTTTAAACTATAAGAAAATCCCCCACTCACCCCGACCTTGGATTGGATAAGCATATAAGAACGGATGGATAGTTCAAACAAATACTAAAACTTTCTCTTTGTTTTAATTCATTTTAGTTACTTTTTCAAGGAGTCTGATCTTTAGTTGTTGTTGTTTTGATTAGCTAAAATGTTTCTTTGACATCGAATTTTAGTTTTCAGTTAACTACAATAACCTTGCTTCCTCAGCCGCCACACTGGTCAAGTCATACATTGATGGATGGGATTACAGATCAACATGCAACTGGCTGAGATACTTACAGCGAGGAAGAGCATGCAGTACATGGAAAAAGACGAGTGGCCGGAGTAGAACGAGAGCCTGCAACAGAGAGACAAAAGCACAGCTCAACACCCGAGTAAGGACATGTTTTTATTAACACAGCGGTCTGAGCTGACTGGAGAGTCCCCGGCTTTAGTTAGCTCTCGTTTGAAACACCACATCAGCAGTCATGTGCACACACTGTGGATACTGTGGCACAATTTTCCCAGTCAGGAGGCTTTTACTGATCAGATTTAGGGCCTGGACTGCAGCGCAGAACAACCTGCTGCTTGTTGAAAATCAGTGGATTATGTGGAGGAATTTGAAAAAATCCGCCACTGCGTTAAGGATCTCTATAAACCAATACTTGCAATACTCTGCTTTAAATTCAACATCTTATTTCCCCTAACCCTAGAGAGCCAGGTTAGCATGAGCCCCAGGAGCTGGAATAAACGAGAAATATACTAGGTTGTAATAAAAACCCAGAATTATCCTTTGACCTAAAAGCACACTTTAGGCCCAGAGCTGCTAACATGACACTTATTTTCTTTAAAAGCTCTACAGGAAATCCCCACAAAATGGCAAAGCTGAAAATCTTCATCATCATTAACAATTAAGCTAATCTATAAATCAACTCCCCAGCAGCGACTGTTAGTTACACCCAGCAGAGTAAACGATAACAATGCCGACCTCCATAAATCCCCAACAGTGGCATCAGATTAGGACTGTGGCACCCTGTGTGGGATCACAGGATGAAAAATTCATGATTGCCACCTTACAAATCAATATTTGTGATTTCACGTCCATGGAAACGAACTCAATCGTTGACAGTGAGCTGTGTTTTTGCTGGGCAGTAAACCTTAGACACAGAGGTGTCATATTACTGTAAGATGATGCTGGGCAGTCTATCTCAGCCTCCTCTCTCCTCTCCTGTTGCAGTTATTAGATGCATTAGAGTCCAGCAGATGCCAACAAAGACAGGGAGCAGCTTTTTATTTAAAAAAAAAAAGCAGACTGCTGAGTAATAATGGTGCTCCAGGAAGCAATGATTGTGCACCACGCCCTGATACACGTACAGCAGATACCCCAGAGCGGTAAAGGGTAGGTGGGCCCTTTACGCTCAAGGGCCGCAGCTCGAGCAAAACGTTTCCCCGTCTCGCTTTAAACAGATAAAGAAGGGGAGAAGCAAATGTAACGTAAACCTCCTCACAGCCCATAATAAACACGCATCACTCCTCTGTGGCCGGGGCCTCCGTCAGACTGAGAAGAGGAAATCCTCTCCTCCCAATACTCTTCCTCCTGCTCTGAGCCGATAAGAGACAGAGACCTTAAATCAAAATACGCTTTACATTCCTGTGATATTACTCAAAGCGGCTCGCGCTGCAGCTGCGCACATTACAGAAGTCACCCATTTAGCACATCTAAACACTTCTCAGCTGTGTTTTTTAAAAACGATCTTTATCTATGCCAGAAGATCATTAATGATGACTGTACTATGAAGGAGTGCAACATAAACAAGGTTTGCTTCCCTTCCCTAACGACCAAAATCAAATCAAGCGGTCATGTGGTTCTCAACTGAATTAACTGACCCGGCTTTTCTGGGTCTCGGTATGAGCGGTGGCGCTAACGCCGCCGGTGGCGGTAAACAATGGACAATGGATGGGAGTAAAGCTGGATATTTCTTACAAGAACATTATAAAGAACAAATAAGACTTCAGAAGTATAATCCTGCTGCAGCCTCAGCCAGGAAGGACAAATACATTTAGGCTGTGTGAATCTAAAAATGAATTACTGTGTGCTTATAGATCATTAGTTATTATTAATCTCTGGCTTTCTTCCACAGTGTGTCTTTATGTCCTGTCTGCCTCCCATCAACCCCAACAGATCGCAGCAGTTGTGTACTTACAAATACAGCTCATGGTTGCGGCTGCTGAACCACTATCTCCTGCAGGATATGGTGCTGAGTAAGTGCTGAGAATCTAGCTTATTTATAATATCAAAAGGGGCCATCTCAACTCAGTCTTACACGTATAACTGGAACCTACATATTTCTCACATTGGAGTGACGTTGCTAGGTTTGATGTGCTTGTTCTCATTTACGCTTCAGTAATAGATGCAAGTGATGCTGAGCACAAGCTGAAAGTCAGAAGCACAACTCTAAAACGGCTATTCAGAGGTTGTTCAGTGACATGCTTCACCTCTGCCCTTTGTGCTTACGCTGTGAACATGTTACAAAACAATGGCCTGAGGATTTTTCCAATAATCAGCTCAACAACAAGAAAACCCCAAAACAAACAAAGCTGGTGTGCATAAAGTTGGAAAAGAGGTGTTCGTTTCAACATCTGAAATCAAAAAAAGAAACAAATTCATTCTTATTTGAACTCGGGCTGCAACCGCTAATTTCAAATCTAAACATCAGAATAAAAAGATGAATCAGAGTCCATGGTGATCTGTTTAAATGGTTTGCTTTTTTCCAATAAAAGGCCAGCTAGACATTATACAACATAAAGCACTGAATCATCACACTCGAGAAGCTAGCCTAGACATCATTTTTGCTCTGTGCTTGGAGCTCTGCTTTCCTGGTGCTGGGTCATACATACCGGGCCTCGTTGACCTGCTTCGCGTCTCCAGTGCAGGTAAAGTCTTCGATGTAAGTCCCTGCCGAGCAGTTGATCAGTTTCCAGTCGGGTCTGCACAAATCCAGGAAGTGCGGCCTAAGCCGGCCGATTGAATACTTGGCGATGTCCGTCAGAGACTGGCTCATGGCGGCACCGAAAACGAAGGTGCCGATGGCTTTGTAAAGGCAGGCAACGTAGCTGCCGAAAGACGACTTGGACTTGATGCGGTTTAGATGAACTAAAAGACACTCGCCAACAATCATCTGCAACGAGGGGCGGGAGGACACAGAGTTACACCTTTATACAGAATGACAGGGTGACACATTTAAAAAGAAGATGCAGATAAATGAACGTCGGAGGCAAAATCCCAGGATCATTGTTTTGATTTTGTTTTTGAAGACTCGTCTATGATGATTTGCTTCTTAAACAAGAATTAGATCAGAAGATTGACTCTTCTGTCAAATCAGGACCTGAATATAAACCCACAAATTAGCAAAGACTGGACATGTGGTTATGAATAATTCAATTAAATCTCATTTATATAGCACCAAATCACAAACACAGCCACCTCAAGCTGCTTTATCCTGTAAGGTAAAGACTCTACAATAATGCAGAGAAAACCCCAACAACCAGACAAACCCCTTTGAACAAGCACTTGGTGACAGTGGGAAGGAAAAACTCCCTTTTAACAGGAAGAAACCTCCAACAGAACCAGACACAGAGCGGAGCCAACTTTGAATCTGTGCTATTTCTTCATTTCCAGTTTTTATGCTAAGATTATGACATTAAATAATGAAAGAAATGTCTGACAAATTAGGTTTTTTTGATCTTCGGATCTAATCCTTTACAACGAAGAAAATCCTTCTCATAATGCTGCTTTCGAAATACATAAATGCTCATTTGACGGTAATCAGAAGGGCTCTGCAACAGCTGCTGAGGTCACAGGAGGATGTCCACTTAACACAGTAAGCCTCTCTTTCAGTTCATCTGAAACTTTAAATGAAACCTGAGGCTTATGAGCACGTTATCATGTTTCTGCAACGATATGAACAGGCAACAGGCCTCGAAGGCTTAAACAAACACACTGCTTCTTCATTATTACTTTACAGCAGAAGAGCTGCTTTATCTCGACTTACAGTTAAAAATAGTGTAGGTTTAACAACTCTAAATAGCCATGTCATTACTTAAAACGATAAAACCTGACCTCCGTCATCACTAGAAGGTTTGCGTAGACCTTCACATCTGTAGGTTACACATCTGCTCTATTTTAAAGCCCGAGGCGGCAGATTAGGTCAGGTTAAAAAAAACAAACCCCTACCTCTTTTCTGTTTCCTCATTAAATGTAGAACATTCAAAAAATGATTTGAACAAATCAAACTGCTGGCACATTAGTAGAGTGGGGTTAAAAGGTTTTTTAAAAAGCAAAACAAATCATGCATTGAGGATTAGAACCATGCAGTTCCATTAAGCAGGGTCACGAGTATAAGAAGAAAAAAGAAGTGGATGAAAGCAGTCAGCAAAACACCAAACTGAAGAAGAGTAAAAAAAAAAAAAAAGATGTACAGAAGTGAACAGAAAACAAAAACTGTGCACTTACAGTGAGTACCGTGACGGGAATCATGACACCTCCTAACAACTGATAGGAAATGGTGTCGTCTTTATAGGGGTACTTGATTGAATCATCGTTACAGAAAAAGCCCCGGTGGAAAGGACTGTGTCGCAGAGTGAGAATTGCAAATGGGAGTCCAGCTACCAGAGAAGCAATGAGACAGAGAAACAAATACAGGTTACAAGATGTCAGCGGGACAGAGATCTCTCCACCACGCAAAGCAGGAGCCAGCAGCCACGTGAGAGGGCGTTGAGGAAAAGCCCACGCTCCTCTGAAGTCCAGCTTTCAGGAACATCATTAATAGTTAAAGTGTTAGAGCGACAGATGGTGAAACTGTGGTTAGCGTTTCTGTTAATGAAGAAAAGTCAATCCTAAAAAAGATTAGAGCTGAGCAGGTGCATCTCCGTTGCTCCTGTGCTGGGAACAGCGGCGATCGTGTTTCTAGGCTGATTCGGACTCTTTGTTATCAACACACTTTCCTCTTTCCTAAAAAGAAAAAAAAAACTTCCTCAGTGGTCCTGTTCCATATCCCCACGTATCCTCCCAAACCTCACATCAACAGACAGGGAACAATGGAGTCAATCGCAATAACGCTGAACAGCAGTTATTAGACATTGAGGGAAAAAAAGAGAGGGATGAATCACTGATGCTACAAAAGCAGCAGAAAGCAGACGCTCTTCCTGCTCTTCCCGTCATTCTCCAGAAACAACCGCTCTGTTCCAGAAGAGCATTCCAGCTATTTTAAGGAACAGAGGACGCAGCCTGAATGTCTGTTGCACAGATTAATAACAGAGACATAAAGTTCTCTCTGATGTTTACATAAAACCAACCCCCCACACCCCTCCAAAAGGCCTGGCCTCAGTCATTATCCACAATTAAATATCTGGAAATAGTCGATTGTGTGCTTTGCTGGACTAAATGTGATTTAGAGTTCTTTGACTGCATCAGGAAACCAAACAAGTGAATTACAGGGTTTTTTCCCCCACAAATCCATCTGTAGTGCTTGACAATGACAATAAAATAAACTATTATTAATTGTTCTGCAGTAGTTGTAAAGTGGACATCCTCCTTCACCTTTAACTCTTTTTAATACACCTCCAGTAAAAGCAGCCGACACATATTCAGAGTCTCAGTAACAGTCAGCGGTGTCACTGCTGTCCTCCATTCGACTCTGGGTGTTTATTCTTTGATGTGCTGCTCTCTCAGTCCCCACAGACCGCCTCACAGTGGATATTTTGACTTGCCAAAGCTGATAACAACAGTAAAGACTGCTTTCCATGCAGGTGGGGCACTAAAACAGCCGCTTATGCGTCACACCACAGGAACCGGCTCAGAACGGAACATGTGCTTGTTGGCAAGTCAATATATTGGCTGTGAAGTGGGTCGTGTATGTATGTTGAGCCTGCTTTAAGCGACTCCTACTTACACAGCTAATGGGCAGGGCGAAGCCCACAGTGTAGAGCACCGTGGAGGTGATTGTACTGCTGTGGAAAGGGTACTTGATGCTGTCGTCTGTACAGAAAAAGCCCCTTTGGTAGGGACGGATCTTACCCAGGTTATAGGCTGCCAGAGGCAGACCTCCTGTGGAAGGAGAGACCGGGAGGAATTACCACAGCAAAAAATTCACACGTTAAAAAAAACATACAACATATCATCAGGACTACTTCAGACTGGTGATTATATGGTGAAAAAGACTGAATGAAATGCAGTACCTGTCCTAATAGTAAGTAAGAACTACATCAGGTTACACAAGAAATACTGGTTTATACTCTGCAACATTACATTTTAAAGATGAAAACATCTTCCGGCACGAGTGACATAACCACTCTTTGGGCAATTTGTCAGCAAACTGCGCTGAGAGGTTTGTGGCTGGACGACTGACTCACACAGATGTGAGAGGAGCTTTGGACTCGGCTAAGATAAAATACCATAAAGATACCAGAACGGGCTGATTAGTTAGTCCAAAGTCTTGATGTAATGCTGCTGCCATTCCTGCAGGCTGTTTGGCCTGTTTAGCTCATTGTACGGTGCGGAGAAGACAAGATTCATTTAAGCAGAAAGCATGAGTCCATCAGTGAAAGGTAATGCGCAAGGCTGCAAATGGACGGGCGCGCACAGATGCACAACGCCAGGATATGCCATCATCTACAAATAAACTGCCCATTCATTCGGCCTGGTATTTCCGCTCTGCGCGCCTCCTCTGCAGCTGTCCTCACCCTCATGAGGGACAGCTCCTCACCAGCTGAAGTTGACAGCCTGGAGCAGCTGGAGATGCCAGAAAGCTGGGACTGAAACGCACACCAGACAGCTCACGGCTAACTTTACAACTGCTGCGAGCGGCCAAACACAAACAAATAGGCAGAGAAGAAGAAAAAAAGAAAAATCTTAATCTCACATTTACCAGATGACATTCCTGTGACTCTAACAGCACAACATGCATGTGCATGTTTGGCAACATGCAGCAGTGCATGACTGCTGCTAACAGCCTCCATCTGTCTGGAAACAGACTCTCACAAGATGCCTGCTTGTAATTTAATAGCCCCTTTGAATTAAAGGGTGAATGTGAACTGCACGCAGGCAGTCAAGCAGCTTCTCAGGGCAACACAGGTTCAGGTGTAGAGCAGAAAGAAATCTGCATCCTTTAATTGATATATGTTTCTTTTTGCTCACCTTAAATCTAAGACATAGCAATTACTGCGATGGCCAAATGAGAAATATCAACACGACTATAAGACCTGTTGAAACATGATATGAATTAAATTTAATCACATTTTATTTGTATAGCGCCAAGCCACAACAACAAACCCTACAATAATACAGAGCAACTCCCAAGAATCATACGACACTCTGTGAGTAAGCACTTGGCGACAGTGGGGAGGAAAAACTTTCTTTTAACAGGAAGAGACCTCCAGCAGAACCAGGCTCGGGGAATAAGCAGCCCCAGCCCCCCAGCCCTGTTGGGAGTGGTTAAAAAGTGCTCTTCATTATAATGGTAGAATCTCTTTGCTTCACTTTAATGGCCAGTTTGTGTTTGCCGTGTCTGGAGAAGATCTTTGGTAGGAACAGAGACTGAGAAATGAGTCTCTAACTCAATCCACGGGTCCCACCACGTGGGGCTATTCAACACGTCAACAGTACAGTTTCAGATTTGCTCTGCAGTGCTTTCAGACCTTTTGAGGGAGGGAAAGTGTGGTCACATGTATCAGGAAACTTTGCTGAGCAGAGGTAGCACTGTATTCTAAACTAAGTGTCAGGAAATTTACATTTGGCTTAAATGAGTCACGGATTATAGAGCAGCATATCGACTCCAAACTTCCCCTTACACAAGTAAAAGAATAAGTCAGTGCGCCACAAGTACCAAACCACAAGATCAGGAGAGAAATCTACTGGTACAGTGTAATTAATATGATATTCAACGCATGAATTATTAGTTTTACACTGCGTCTAATGTCATAATTATTTATCAGCACATGCTTTGCCAGCACAAACTGAAAAGTCAGTTTGCATAGAAGCTGCTGAAGATAAGCTCACATATTACAGCTGTACTGTAGCACCACTGTAAATACAACGTCAGTGAATCCAGCACCACTCCCTTCACGTGAACGAAAGCTGCTAAATACCCATTCAGCAGGTTTATACCTGCTTCCTAAATCGGCTTACATCAAAAAGACTAACAGCATAGTACATAAAAGCGAGGACGGGAAAAAGGCGTTTAAATACATACCCAGAACCAGACAGACTATATCTAATAGGACAAAGGGGATCCCTCTCATGTCGAACATGTTGTCTCTTGTCTGTGCTTTCCTGAGTCCCTGTCTGCTGCCGGGTCTTCTGCCGTAATAAAACACCAGGGGGACGCTCCTCCTCAGGACGTAGCTGCTGCTGTGCTCCTTCCGATTGAATGAGAGCCAAAGGAAGGCAGCAGCGAGCTGTTTAAAAAGCACAATAAAAGCCGACGCCCTCCAAAGAAACACAAAGACCACCCCGGACACAGGAGAGCAGCTGCATATCAAAAGAAGCGAGTGTGATTCACAGACCGGCCCCGCTGCTGTGTTTGTTGATGTTGTTGTAGTTGGGTGGGGGCGGTGGTGGTGAACTGCAGCGCAGCCGATGACTCCGCATATGCTTCATGATGGATTTACAGCCGATTTGGAATAATAAAAAAAAAGCTTCGTGATAAAAACAAACAGCGAGTCTCGGCTCGCAGCTGTCCCGCGTGTCGCTGTGTGTATCCAATGAAACACGAGCCTGTGGCGGACACGAGAAGACCCGAGGAGATCGCAGCTACGCAAGGCCCGCTGCTGCCTTCACGTACCCGCGTGAAGCTGGGGGAAATATGAAGCTTTAAAATGGTGCGTTCAAGTAATATCGGTAGATTGTTGAAAAAAAAAAGGTTTTTACAATTACAAGGCAATTATTAACTTTTTTTTCCGCTGAGAAAATTAGTAGAATTATGAAGACGTGCCTTTGGCGACCCTGAATGTTTAAATACATGTATTAAACTAATATTAGGCCTGATTGTTTGGATATTTTATTGTATCTTAAAAGATGTGGAGAACGGCTTTTTTAGGCTATGGCTTATAATTTGTATGTACATAATTATAGCTAATGTCTAACAAAAACAAAAGTTTAATGCGTGCTGTCCTTTTAGAAACTGCCTTTTGCATTTTAATTTCACAAATAAATAAACATTTTTCATTGAACCGCTGTATCAATATCGCCCTCTAGGGTCCGGTGGTTGAACGTGCGCACTTCTTTAGCATGGATTCACATTCCAATGTTTTCAGTCCCGTGATCACCCTGATTTATCTGCAGATATTTAAACACAAAAAATTGACTGACATTGGTTATATAACCCTCTAAACAAAACATTGCATGTCCAATGTCCATGAAGGAGTTAAAGTTAAAAGAGGAAACACTAACTTCAGCACAGCCATTTGCAACAGCTCTAGTTCCTAAAACCTTATAAATTCAGTTTGCATACCTGATGTATTACACGCTCATGATGTCCCCGATCACATATTCATCAGTGAACAAATCTCAAATCCAAGTGAGTCACATTTCAGCTCTCAGTTTGATCAGTTTGGAGACAAAGTTAAAGAGAGGTTAGAAAGTTAAAAAGAAGAGGATATGCTAATTTTTAAAAGTTTACTTCAACAGCCATCACTATTTTGCTTACTTGTTAATGCACGAGAAATAAACAGATATATAGTCTTAAAGGACCGATAACTTAAAGACTTAGATTTCATTTCTTTTCCCCCACTGTAAAGAAGTGAAATCACTGTATTAAACATGTTAACACACTGTATTAACATGTTTGCCTATGACAATCACGGTACATAGAAAGATTGCTTTCACAATAAATGTCTCCATGACGACCTCTGAGTGCTTCCTGTAGTGCTCAGAATCAGCTTTCATGAGCAAAGAGCCATTATCAATATTGCATATATTGATATTTGTCACAGCTGTACTTGGAGAAGCATGACATCAGGGCTGCAGACTAACGGTGATATAAATGTGCTTCATTTATTCTCACACATTCATAACACCAAAAAATGTTTTAGTCTTGCTTTTAAACTTGAGGGCTGATTGCGAAATCAACCCACAGAGATGAGAGAAATTCTAAATCACCAAACAAGTCTTTATGCATACCAAGTGACACCAAAGCATACAATAAATCTAAATGAGAGAACATATCGACATCCCTAATCAAACCAGAAATACAAATAATGTATGCCACTTCACTGCAAATGATCACACCACAGTGTAACTCTGAAACCGCTGCAACCAATTCACACATGGGTACACACATCACAGACAACTTAGGTTTCAGTACTACTAAGAATTAGAGCTGTGTATAATCTGTAGCGGTTTGAGATAGGGAAGTGACACATACAGTACATAACTGGCTGTGTCACTGGAAGAACTGCGATGTAACGATTAGTCTTTAATATTGCTGTGAGCGAATTTGGGTCCACTTTAATCATAACTGATGACTGATAATTTAACAAGAGGGGGCAGTTCCTTTTTCACAAAGAGTCAGGTTCATTTTTCTTTCAGTGCATTTACTCAGGTTATCTTTCTCTAATATTAAAATTGTTAATATTTTAAAAAAAGAATCAGGCAGGGGCAAATGTTTTTGCAGCACTGTGTGTGCCCACTCTCCTGTAGGATGCGTCTGATCATCAAAACAAGTTGGTAGGGCTAGCCAAATATTAGTGCCAAGGGGTGTGTAACTTGATGCCATGCCAAAAGACACATTTTAAAGGAAATGCCTATGCTAGATGACAATACATCAGAGTGAGGCAAGAGCTGGGACCATCCGAGACACAAAACTTCCTTTCAAAGCTCGCCTGCCATTCATTGTTATTTCTATTATAATATGAAGTTATCCAAATAAAGTCACTTTTTCTTGACTTATACTAGCCCACTAGTATAAAAACAGAGGAGTGTTTCTACAGTAACTTAAAAAAAAATCCCCTAAGAGTCAAATTATTTAAGGGTCTATCAAATTAATTAGTTTTTATGCATATACATATATGTATATATTACGGGTGCAACGATATACAAAATTCACGGTTCGGTTCGATACTTTGGTTATATTCTCAGCAGCATATTAAACATATAAGGTCCCCATAAGGAGAATCACGTGCTAACGGCTGTCTAAATGACTGGGGTAAAGTTTGTAGCATATGTGCTTGTTGTTTTTGTCTGCTTCCACTTGTCTTTGCACTAGGATGATGTCAGAGTAAATGTGCAGTCATATTCGTTGTCTTCCCACTAGTGCTGTCAGCGTTAATCTCGTTAAAATGACATTAACGCCATAACGCAGCAAATCTCCGTTAACGAGTTACTGCGGATCTCCCATACGTGGACGGCCAACACGTTAACAAGCTAACTAACGCAGTAGTTCCCACCAATTGAGCATTGCGTGGCACATCCGACATACTGTTTTACTTTTGAGCTTACCATCAGGGCGATGCTTCACATGAAAATCAAGATAGTTCCAAACGCCAGATCTGAATGAGGATGGGGGAAGTTCAATTTCGTCTAGTGTTGAGGCAGTTGCCATGTTGCAACGACCTTAGCTTCTGTCTTGCTAGCTTGCGCTGCGCTCAGTGGATCTGCACTCGACAGTGCAGCCTAGGCGCAGTAGTCGAACGCAGATTCACTGAGCGCTT